AGAAAAAAATGGGTCTTTTTCCAATGTCTTTGCGGTTATTATATTAAATAATTTGTGCTAAGTGAATTATTTACTGGTTAGTTAGGTCGAGCGATTTTCGCAAAATAAGTTTTCTCATGGCCATTTCAAGTACTTATAGGTTATTCCATTTCGTGCTCATCCTTAAACGTGACTTATTGCATACGAAGTAACATAATTTTTGGAAAATTAGACTGCTATAACTGTGTTATGGTTTTGCCTAATAGAATGCTTCAGTCCAAAAACTAATTGCTGCTCTGAAGAAAAGACTTAACGAATCTGACTGTGAATCAAGAGGTTATATTATTGTCGATTTCCCAAGATGTGAAAAAGAAGCTAAAGCACTTACAGATGAAGGAATATTTCCTGATTATGCAAGTATGAAGTGATAATTACTTTTTATTAAGTGATCTTTGTAGTCTTTCTAGATGCACCCTTGCTTACATTAATTGAAAGAGCATCAGGAGAAAGGATGGATCCCGATAATGGAGGTGATGATAAGAAATAATTCTTAATTTTAGATTTACATCAGATTTATATAATCTATTACATAACCCTCCAGCTGATTTAGCAGTTGAAAAGCGCTTGGTAAAACTTACAGAAAATGATGAAGAACTAATTAAAAACCTTTACAGCGAATACAACAGACAAATGGTTCTACTGAAGAGAATTTATTCTAGTGTTGCTTATGAATTTAATGCAGATCAACCAATCAATGACTTATATCATTCCGTTTTGGCTAAAGTAAACCAATGTCGTCGCAGCGTTGCTCTGCAAACTCCTAAGGTCGTTTTATTAGGCTATCCTGGAGCTGGAAAACGTACACAAGCAAATTTGCTAGCTAAAAAGTATGGGCTAATTCCAGTGGACTGTGGGCAGCTTATACTTCGTGAAGTAGCTAATCGTTCTTCGGTTGGCAACATAATGAAAACTTATGTTCAAAAAAATATTCCAGGTATATTTGTTAAGTCTTTCTTTCTATTGTGTACAGTCTTTTGTATATCAGACGTATTCTTTCTTATACAAACTCTTATTCATTAAGATAATCTAAAGATCGACCAATGATTGAACTGTTGAATCGCTGGTTTCATTAAACATATGATGAGAAGTCTTGAGTTTATTATATTACCTATACGTTGGAACTACTCCTGGGTTCAATAACCTCGGCAAAGACTTATTTATGATGGTAATTTTAACGCATTTTTCATAAAAGTCACTCAAATTCATTTTTGCTTAGAGTATTTGATATAAAATACAATGGTGTTAGCATATATTATGGTTAAGAGTTTAACCATATCATAGCTGTTACTTTTATGCTTGTTACATAAACAATTTTTCAAGTGGTATATAACCATTTCTTTTATAATAAGGGCTTATATGTTTTGGTGGTAATTATACCAAATATTGCTACGATTTGCACTTTATTGCTATTTTCGATTCCTTTAAAACCTAGTTCCAGATGCCATAGTCTCTGAAGTTGTGAGAAACAGACTGAATAAAATTGATTGCATTACATATGGTTGGATACTTGTCGGATATCCTCGTACACGTCAACAAGCAGAGCTACTGTCATCGCATAAAGTATACCCGACCCGAGTTATTCTAATGGATATACATCAATCTTGTGCATCTGAACGACTTTCTGGACGTAGAATTGACCCAATCACCGGTATATGTTTTCATACAGCATTCGAATCTATGGATGATGTATGCATAAATCAACCTGCTTTGCAGCGTCCAAATGATGGAGAAGATGCTATAGGCCCAAAGCTATCAAGATTTACAGCTAACAGAGATGACATTATCGTATACTATGATTCATGTGTGGTTAAAGTGCATGCAGACAGAGATATTCACACTGTTTTTGAAGAAATTGAGACTGCTATTGTAAATCCATTACCACGTTTTAATTTTGTGAAATAATTTAATAGTATATATGTATTTGTGCAGACAGAAGTTAAATACATGATTTCTTATAGAAAATTCTGTTTTTTTTATATGACATACTCAGAAAATAGTTTGGAAAAAGTTTAATTTTTCTAAAAAAAATTTATATGTCCATATTAAAACCAACATTGTAGGATCAAATAGAAATTTACATTAGGAAACCTGATCCAAATCTACTGAAATATACACGAAAACATCATTTGTATGAGGTTTTTGAGGTAAGAACTTTTTATTAGCATTATTGATATTTTTTGATATATAAAGAAATGATCGAATACTTTAAAATAGTTATCACTGATGAAAATGTTACCGAAACGTACTTAATAGGTGTAAATTCTGTTTAATCCAATGAACAAAATTACAACCAAACTTTGTACATATTCCTTATAAAATCAGATAAGGCTGAACTATGTCAACTTGCCTCAATATTTGATTCAAATATGTAACGCATTAGAGGTTCAAGTAATCAGCCTTGAAATTCAATATGCCTGAAGGCTAGTTATACTACCCGAACTCATTTCACTCCTGTAATTTCTAAACTGATTAATGGTGTATGCGAAACAAATCACAACTTTCAAGTAATTTGCTTAAAGTTATCATTCGTATGATTAGTTGAGGCTAAGGAATAAACACGCTTCGTTTTTTCTTGTACAATTTAAATAATATATTCAAACATGACCTTATTCTTGTAAATGTGCAACTTTTTAACATTTACTTACTTTAAAATGTAGGCAAACATTTAATTAAAACGAAGTGAATTAAGATACAAAAGTTGTAAATTGAAAAACTTGGTTCAGAAATCTTAACCTAAACAACAAAGGCATTTCTAACCAAACGAGTTTTTTAAAGAAATTCCCGAAAACCTCCCCAAGTTTTAATATATTATATTTTTGTATAGCTTAAGAATTTTTCTTGAGATAAAGCAATAAGTGATCTATTTGCACCAAAGACATAATAGCTTTTCTTCAGTCTACAGAGAGTTGAAAAGCGAGAGTAAAGTCATGTAGACGAAATAGTAAGTGTTACATAGACAAAGAATTATTTTGTTGGTAATAATCGTCCGCTAAAAACCAGCTGATTGTTAGGTGCATAGAATAATATAGATAGGTCGTGTTTGTTGGTTAAATACTTTGCTCCTTTTGACCTAAACGTTATTAAACTAGTGCAGGATGATGAATATTGGCTAAACCTGTTAGTACATATTTATGTTAACCAAACTTAGCTTAAGTTTGGTCTAATATTTATGGAAGCTAATTTAACATAAAGACCAAATCAGCTTCCTTAATCTTTTTATGAACATTTCAGTACATTTTCTGATAAACGAATCTTTGTATTACTCTCATATTCCTGGAGATTAAAGTTCTAATTCATGTTATGATAATTGGTCCCGTATCTTCAAGAGTTCCCCTAATCTCCAGAAAGTCTTCGGGATGCTTTGAAATTGATTACTTTAGCGATAAATTCTTAGAAGTAAATTCATAAATCAGGACTGCCGGGTTCCAAGTCAGTTATCTATACGTAGCTCGCTCATCACAAGATCTGAAATGCCTCTTTCTATTACAGACCATACTAAGGGTCCTCATTATTGACAAGTCCCAAACTAGAACGACAAAACTTTACAGTACTTCATAGGTTTCAGTCGCTATGTAATTCAAGTTTTATCATGACGTAGACTATCAATAAGTCAAATATTCTTGAAATACATATTCAGAATTTTGTAGAGTTTGCAATAATATTTCCCCTACCGATGGGTAATTGTCAGTCATTTACACTTCAACAAGTGGCCGCCAATATAAATTCTTAATTTATACAGAATAAAACAAATCTCAAAAAGATATAGATTCCATTATTTTATAGAGCTTTATCATCTGTCTACAATTTAAAAACCAAATTACTGATAATTTGAAAAACCTCAGATAAAATTAAGTAGTTGGTGCGTAAGTTGATCTAGGTTCATATTAATGGTGAGAAAATATGCAAATAATCGTTCAAATGTATATTTACAATAGTAGAAAGCAAATATTGCAGTAAAAGAAGAGAAATCTTAGAGCTAAATATTAAGTGATATAAATAAGCACTTCGAATCAATTTATCATGCAAGCTATTCTATCCTTACATAGTTATATGTTTTCTATATAACTATATATACGAATGTACAGCTTAAATAAATGATTTCGTTGAACAGAAAAACTCATGCGAAATAATTAAAAAACAGGGTAGAGCTTTCACTACTAATGTCTCTCTCTCTTTATATATATATATATATATAATATATATAAATATATAATTATATATATATATATATATATATATATATATATATATATATATATATATATATATATAAGTAACCTGGTGACTTTAGTTTACTACAGTTTGTTGTAAAACTTTCCATTTTACCCAGATATTTCTTTTAATTGATCTAAAAATCTTGTTCTAATTGGAGTTTTGTTTACATTTTATTCTGTTAATCCATACATATTTTCTAGCTACCACTATTTCATCTGTGATATTATTTTTCTATTGCTAGAAATGTTTTATTTTAATCCGTTTTAAGGCGGCTTATTATAAAATATTCACACACGTATTCTATAATTAATCAGTTGTACAATAGACTTTTATAAATCTACTATCTTAAATCATTCTACAATTATGTATACTTTTAATAAATACCCCTTTATGAAAACCACGGAAGTTATGAATAACTTAATATTAAAGCTAATGAGAATCTGATTACATGATCAAACACAGGAAATATCAGTATTCTAATTGTTCAGATGAAAACATTTGTATTCACTATCATTTGTTGTCTTCATTAATATTTGTGCAATTGAATGATACTATAAAAGATATAATGAAATTATTATAGTGGACAGTGTTATATAATTTATTTATTTATCAGATGAATAAAATACTTCCTTATGACTCTTTATAAAAGCATGCATAGTCAACAATACTGTTTTACGATGTTCTGATTGTTTAGTCATAGTTATTATTGATTATTACTGAAGGCACTTTTAGGTGGTTTAAGCGTCATGTTACCAGAAAATCCTCGTAAATGGATAGCAGAAAAACTTCAACTTCTTTACGATATTGGTTTTATGAGTTTAAACTGGTAAGTTGTATTTCACTTCAATAAATTTTTTTTTAAAAGCTTGAATTTGGCTATGTTTGCGTTTTAATTTATTTGTATGGATTCTTAGATTTACGTGAAAAACTGGCATATCAAGTAGAATTCTACGGTTGTCAAAACTTTATCTGGCTAACAAATAAATTTTTCGACAGTTTTATCCTTAATAATGTCAGTTTTGCGGGTGAATATGTCCGTTCTTTCCAATATTTAAATTATAATGGGATTTAACCATGTAACAAAAAATTGGTGACTATTATTACTCTTAAATGCTTTGTAGATTTTCTCAGTCTAAATTAGATATCTGCTCTTTTGATTATTTAGTGTTAAGTAAGTTGATAATATTGACAACAGTTGAATGAGTTGGTAGGTATCAATACCATGGTTGGACTTGATAGTTTCAAATAAATTGAGCGTTGGGCAGAATGTTAATAATAAATATATTTTTGTCGAAAGTACAATTTTCTAGTAATTGGGATATCACAAAACTATATTTATCATTAGCAGTTGAATGAGTAATAAATAGCGTAGATTTATAGTAATAAGTAATGCTAGTAAATCACTTGATTGCACTTTGGACCTTCGTCATCTTTAATAATTGGGATGTAATAGGTATACTCAGAGATTACTTACATCAAATTGTTGTACTAGTGAAAATAGATGTAAAGGTTATGGGTCAAAATTAGTTACAAATGAGAAAATATACTAAGATGAGGATTTGAATACACTTATTTATAAACATGTGACATTTTTGTGTACATTTTCAACCATGTCATATTATATTTCTACCATTTTAAACCTAAATATTAAGGGATACATTTATTGATCCGGATATGAAACCTTCTCATCCATATGTCGATCATGAATTAATGGATTCCCTATTTGGTACATCAAAACTAGAATTTGTAAGTTATACTGAATCCCTAATTTACGAACTTAATATTTAAAAATACACCTCTTTATTTTAACGATGACCGTTATCATCAACTGATATTATTTGCAGAAACAATGGACATCCATTTCGTTTCATTTTAAAACTCTTCAGCAGTGTACATCTAATACCTTGCAAATGAATGAACATACTGTTAACACGGCAACAGAGTCAATATCAGTTCTAAGTGATTTGTTTTATAATCGAACATCTGCATATATATATATATATATATATATATATATATATATATATATATATATATATATATATAGCATTTTACATCATTCTCTTAAAGTTAGTATATACTAGGGTTTATATTGTTGTACTATATTGAGTAATGATTATCAACGCACAGGTCAACACTACATTGTTGCTATTTTAATGTTTACTTTATGAAGGCGAGTAAATTATGGTACGTCCATTCGTAGTATTGGTACAAAAGACCATAGATAATAACAAACTCAGTTAATAGTACTGAATGTTGATAACTATATTGTTGAGAATTCATTATATTAAAAGAATTGCAATAGTTTGGAAGTCCATTTTGTTAGACTTTTTATCTCATATACTGCATACTTACTCTTTTTATTATATTTGTTTAATCAGTTGTTACCAGAAGAATTACAGTATCAAGTAAGTTTTGTATTTGTCAAAATATTATTTTTCGAAAGAAGAATTCTATATACACTTGATTCGTTAGTCTTACAATTCCTCTTATGAAACATGGAACATATACGCTTGCTGAATTCAAATAAGTTATTTAGATATTTTTAATAACTCCAAAGGTTGACACCATTAAGACTCAAGTGATAGTGAAACGAAATTTTTAAAAGTGTTTAGCCCAGATCCATAAGAGTTTGTCCTAGTACATAAATAACCCGTTTCTTGATGAAGTTAGAGCTTTTTTTAGTAAAAATATATCATACATTTTATTCTTATATTTTTTGATGAATAAGATGGCAATTTCTGCTCTTTAATTAGAAAATATGTGCCTACTTTATGTTGTATAACTTTTACCATTAATATTCTAAGAAAACACGTTCAGCTAGAATGGATGTAAGTTTATTCCGCTCTAATTATCTACTTTAGTACAACATCATTTTTAGATGCTTGAATTAAAAGCTTCTTTGGGTATAAACTACGCTTAACATCCTTACGTTATCTGATATCTGCTAAGTAAATGGGATATGAGAAGTAAAAGTGCTTGATAGTGTAGTTTGTCAAATATAAAGTTTGAAATTTGCCAATCACATTTCATGTAAAAAATAATCAACAATTTTCAACTACACAGTGATTTATCAACATTGTATTTATCTATATTTCCAATGAATAGATTCTGTATGTATGAGCTTGTGGAGATAGTTGAACTTCATTGAAATCTTGAACCGATTTAAATTTGCCTAAATTAGAACGAAGCGCCCGCCCAACGCTTTCAGGATTTCATTGATGGTCTAGCCTAGATCGATTATGAATTTTAATGGAATAAATTTCAATTTTAAATAAGAAGACAAACAATAACATATTTTTTTGATAGGGTTCAACTTTTGATAAAGTTTTTGGTTATCATCACGACAAGAACTTTGATAAAAAAATTTAATTGTCAAATTGAATAAGTCAACTTACGAAGTTGAATAAAAATTATCTCTGTCTTGAAGAATAACATTTTCACCTGTCAGTTTCTATTTTTAGCTATCCTTTCTCCCTTGATATTTATTTATCATTTGATTAGAATAACAGATAAAGATTTATTCAAAATAACGCTTCATATTAAACGAAAAAGTTTGTCATTCTACTGGGAAGTACTTTTCATTGAGGTTTTTACAGTTTGGCAATGATTTCCACAATAAAATAATACAATCTGAACAGTTACTGTAAATCGGAGAACTTGAGTATTTGAAGTGATTCATCACTGCCTGCTTGCTAACATCTCAATAAGCGAATGAAACATGGTTATTAGGGTCATACAGTGAGCATTATATCACAGGATTTCCTTCATATAATCGCAATTTCACTGTCAATTCCATCACGTAAAGGCTGTTTCAAGTTTACTTGCAATCTGGTCAAGTTTCACACTTCTAGGAATGGGAACTTGTGAAAGATACCACAAACGTATATTTATCTTGTATGGTATAATTTAGATCACCAGACTGTGATCACATAAGTACAAACACCGTCTTTGTTCTCGAAAATATATTAAACATTAATTTTATTTTTTGAAAACTCACTGCAAATTTACACTTATAAATTTTTCATGGTGATTGGTATACTTTAGTATACTTTATGATTTGTCTAAAAATAATGTGGTATATATACATATAACTAAACATACTATACTTTGAATTTTTCTATTTAATGTAAGCCTACACATGAAATGTTAGCAAAAGCCTATGCTGCTCATAAGCAATCAATACTAAAAAAGTGTTTCAGGTTAGTTTTTATGCTTAAATCATGTCATCATTTTCATAAGTATTTCTTTTCAACATGATGTGAATCATACAGTTAAAAAGTTTGTGTAATGGAAACGATTATTCAAAACTTTAAATCTCTGAAAAGAAATAACCCAATTTATAATACTTTTTCATCATATTCTTCTATTATATGATCCGTATGATTTAAATCACTTTATTCAAGTTAAATAAACCAGTAATTTAGATGTCTCGTGAATACAGAGAATAAATGACATGCATATTTTTAGGTGCTGGACAATAGACTGATAGTAAGTTAACAAATTTACTTCAAAAACCTTATCTTGATCATTCAAAATAAATATAACAATATAATTTATACGAATATTCGTCAAAATTAAAAGGAATAGTTTGACAGAAATTGGGCGCCGAGTATAAAGAAATCAATATATATGAAAATCATATTTGATTTCGATCATGACCCTGAAGAAGTCCAGACAATTTAGCTAGACGAAACGTTGGAATTATTTACATTTCAATCTCTGAGATTATTATTATTATAATCTTCACATATATTAATAATATAATGTTTACAAAAAATATGATTTTTGTCATACTTAATGATCATTATAATTTATTTGAATACATTTATCAAATTGTGAAGTATTTGAATGATTGACCAAATTAGAATATTAACATAGTGAATTGTAATGAAAAGTAACTACATAGTTTTAATCAATATAAGTTGTAATAAAATCCAAGAAAATCTGTCAACAGGGCTTGATTAGTTATTATTTAATACCATATTTATGTATCCAGACGAACTTTTTAAATCTTTTTAGTTACCATAATCTTAAATACAATACACTGATACTTCTATGAACTTTTTACAAAATTATCTAAATTTTGTTTTTTTTTTCTATCGGTTTATTATTCTGACAGATACTATCACTCAGAATTCTTGATCATCATTCAACTGTGTTTTAGGTTTTACTTTAAACTATATGATAGTTACACAGATAATGACATATTTACTTATGCCTGTTACCTCTCGTGGGAAAGCGTGGGCGGCCAAACATGATTTCCTATCGAACTCTCTTATGGGCAATCCTTTCCATTTGCTACTCATTCTTTTCATGCCTGCTTCCATTTCCCGATACAGTGTGTCCTTTGGCATTCCTCTTTTCTGTTTTATTTCAGGATTCTAAGTTAGCGCTTGCCTCGTGATGCAGTTTGATGGTTTCCACAATACATATCCTATCCATTTCCAGCGTCTTTCCCTAATTTCCTCTTCAGTTGGATGCTGATTTATTTTCTCCCACACTAGGCTGTAGTTGATGGAATCTGGTCAACAGATATTGAGTATCTCGTGTAGACAATTGTCGATAAATACCCGTACATTTTGATGATGGTTGCAGTAGTTGTCCAAATTCCAGCTCCGTACAGTAGAACTATCTTGACGTTCTCATTGTAGATTCTGACTTGATATTTGTTAACAGCTGTTTTCAGTTCCATATTCTCTTTAACTGTTAGAAATTTCGCCCTCGCTTTGCAAATCTATGCCATCACATCTGCATCAGTTCCTCCTTGTACGTCGATGATGATGCTCAGATACGTGAAACTTTTCACCCATTCTAGAAATTATCCATCAAGTGTGATCAGGTTGGTGTTCTCCGTGAGGTATTTGAGAATTTCGCTTTTTCCTTTGTGTATATTCAAGCCTACTGATGCAGAGACTACCGCCACACTGACTGTCTTCATCTGCATTTGTTGTTGTGTATGGGATGGAATAGCTAGGTCGTCTGTATAGTCCGAATCGTCTAGCTGCATCCAAGCTAACCATTGTATTTTGTGCTGTCCCTCAGATGTGTAGATCTTCCTAATCCCATTGACCATCAGAAGAAAGAAGAAAAGATAAAGTAAGCAGTCTTATCTGACACCGATCTCCACTTGGAATGCATCTGTGAGCTGTCCACCATGCATAGCTTTTCAGTGTAGTCCATCATATGAATTCCCCACGATGTTGAGGATTTTCTCAGCCATACACCATACTGTTGAAGAGGTTTCCATAAAGTTCTCCTATTCACGTTATCAAACAATTTATCATAGTCAAGGAAGTTGATGTATAGTGACCAGTTCCATTCAATTAGTTACTCAACGGTGATCCGTAGTGTCGCGGTTTGGTCTGTGCACGACCGATCCTTACGGAATCCGGGAAGTTGATCTCGAAGCTGAGAGTTTAATCGATTTTTCATTCATTTAACAGTACTTCGTTGAAACGTTTTCCATGGTATTGATAGTAGTGTGATTCCTCCGTAGTTTACACACGTACCGAGCTCTCTTTTCATCGGTATCTTGATGATATGTCCTTTCCGGTCATTCAGTACTTGTCTCAAATCTTCCTGAATAGAACTTACAGAATAATTACATATTTTCTCAGTTCCATAAAACGTCCCTCACAATGATATACATGAAACCACTTAGTTGATTTTTTTGTCACAATTTATCATGTTAATACGTTAGAATAACAATATATATATAACTGTTAACTTACTGTAAGGGATTTTTTGTCTAAAATAAATGTTTTCAGTGATGTAAGAAGAATATTCATGTACAACTTGATGATTATCATTCAACAAGTTTTTTTAGTGAGTTATATAACAGTTTACATATCTACGACTCTCCGTAATCGATTTACATTATTCTTAGTATCTTTCTGTTATCAGTTGTAATAAAAGGCTGGAATCTAATTACAATAATTGTAGTTAGGGGGCTATTGAATACCGCCGTGGATGGATGAAGATAATATTGTAAGATTTTAATTAGAAGCTATGACTGATGCGGTACAATAATATCGGAAGTTAAACGTATAGCATTAATAACATCCGACTATTATTACGCAGTCTGTGAATTGATTAAATTAAGAAAAGTAAACCATTAAGTCTCAACTCATTTGTTTAAAATGACTTTGCTCACCACAAAAACTGAGGGCTCTACATCTTTTTTTATCTATGGTCTAAACATTCTGACCTAAAACAGACGAAATCTAGTTCTTCATAGATTCTAATGATTGTTCCTAGTCTATAACAAAAAATTATTTCAAAAAATCCCCTTTTCAAAGTTTATTCATGTTACACGATATTCATGCTATTACTATGTAAAACCACTAAAATTCTTTTCAAAAGATGATATGAAAATCCAATCACTTTCCAATGGACTACACACATACATATATTTGTAAAAAGAAAACTTATGATTTAGTTAGTAAAGGATTATCTGTTAGTCCTACCCTACTGATAAAATCCGAATTTTTCACATCAGTGTCATTCGATCAGTAAACTTAACATATGAGCCCTATGTACCACAAAATTCAGAGAGTATCCAGCATTGTTTATGGCCTATTTTGAATAATGTATGATTTCCTGATAAAATGGTTGAAATTATACTCCATTATTTTTGAATATGAGTTTCTCTATACACGATGCAATGATAATCTATCCAACAAAATGCATCAAATATATCTATAAGCTAACCGTAGTATTTCAGTACACATGAAAATTTTCGTTTTCAAAAAATACGGTTTGGGAATCTCATGTAAAACTTTCTGTGGGTTGACTTCTATCTCCAGAACATTTTGGATACAGCTTGTCACCTTATGTCATATATTTTATGTAACAAATGAAAATTTATGCTATTAACACTTTGGAACCTTGTGATTTTTTAAATTCTAAAAATGATTTTCGATTCTCTGACTGTAATAATCAATAAAATACTGACATGATCGTATACTAATTTAACCAGTTCCAGAATTCTCATGCAGTCAATCTAACCATATATAAGTAAATAAGTGATGGATTTAATGTTTATTCATTATTTAGTAATTGAAAGAATCTTTTAGTTTGAGCATACTTCTAAACATGAACAACCAAAATTTATTACAAAAGAAAATCATACATTGGATCATCAATTATGAGATCTGTGGCGTTCATTCACCTTAAGATTTACATCATAGACTGAGTTTGGTTTGCTGAACCCGAGTCTGTCTTCAGTTTGATCGAATGATGGTGATACGAATGAAACATAAATTCTGTTTAAGTTCACATGTACTATGTCAGCTTAACAGGTTTAGAACAACTGGATATCAAAAGTCGAAACAATAGTGTTTGTGAAGCATATCTTTCATACATCCCACTCAGCAAACAGATAAAGAAAAGTAAGTGGGAATTAGAGGGACAGAAATAACCACGTCAATGATCACTAGATGAAACAATCTTTATATGAAGTAAATAACACGTAAATTATAAAAAACCAATAAGAGTTTAGTTGACAGACACATAAGACGAGTACTTAGTAAAACGTACATGAGTACTTTTGGCATGATCAAGGATGACAGAGTACATAAAATCGTCATAAAGTACTTGACAAGGTCAAAATGGCGATTTTCATGAGCAGACAAAAACTGATTACTTAGTGGTGTAATAAGAGATACTATGATTCAGAGATACATTGAAAGCCAAGGGGCACTAAGACAATTGCTTTATCTTATGTTCATTTCAACCTTCATTATTCCAGATTCACACATAATAAATTCAAGATTTTTTGTTCTATTTTACAATTCTTCGGTTTGTTTTTAAGCGCCTGGAAATTACATTTTATAATCAAGAAAGCACGAGTGAATTATATGTACAAAATAAACTTTATTGCAAAAATAAGTATGAAATTTAGATTGCAAAAGATTATATTTCGAGGATGGCAAGAATATACACAGTTTGTGAAAAGTAAACAAAAAAGTAAGTAATTAAATTACGTATTATTTCATCATTTCTATCTTAATTCATTATTTTCCAAATCAAGATTATTTTATTTTTCCATTTTAATTGTTTATTTATTACTGACTGTACTCCTAATGCTATCGGCTTGAATTCATATCTCCCCATATACTACACAATGTCTTATTGGAAATTTATTATTATTACTGAGTACATTATTATTTCTGTAAATCAACAATGGTCATATTTATTCTGATGATGGATCTAATAATTTCATTTAACTTTCAACCTTATCAACAAGTGTATAGCATACTACTTACTTCTATATTTATAAATGAGATTTATTTTATTTTTGATAAGAAAGGTAAATTCATATTTTAAATTATAAGATGGTATTTGGCTGAAGTTCGACTTTCTCTTTGATCATTGATTTGGACTACAGAAACTGATATGGATTAATAATAACAATAATAATAGTAATAATAATAATATTTGAACAGAGCCTAGTGATGTTAGGGAAAGATATTGATAAAATTAAGATAATTAACTAAAAAAATTGAAAAGATTAATAATAAGATTCTAGTGATAAATTAACTTCGGATTTTTGCGAAACTTTACTGCTCTCATTTATCTGGCAAAATACCATTTGAATTAACAAAAAAATGCATGATATTTCATAATTACAGTAAAATATCATAATTTTTTTCTACATTGTTAAGTGGCACAATCATTAATAACACAAATTAAAGACTTCACAGTGACAATGTTATATTTTAAAGCCTGGCGGAGGAATGTTGCAGAAGCTCGGAAAACAAGGGATTATTTTTCAGTAAGTTAATGTATGTATTTAACATTTGTAAATACAAATTCGATTATCTTTATTGGTACAAGCAAATGACCTTCATTTGTAAGACTAGTTGACAATATTGGTTTTACATATATATAACAGTACCATAGATCTATGATGAAGTAATAGATATAATAATAGGTTTGATCCAGGAATTTAGTAATAGCAGATATTGTTATAACCGTATTTAGAATATATTGCCGTCTAATTAAAACTGACATTACAGTAGGGTAAAATGTTTCAATGTTACACTTCTCTATAAACGGATATTGTGGTATCCACAAGATTATCAAGTTATCCGTAAATGTTTTTGTTAATTGATTGTTTGAAGAAGAATCAGTTGTACTGCTCAAGCTATATTTTCCATTATTAACTAATTAATTTTAAGTCAACATGCCTAGCAATCAATAGAAAATATTCTTAGGATTCTGTAGAAGTTTGAAATATATAATGTCTGTATCACATTATCACAAAATACACCGAGTTATCAGCATAAACGAAGACACTGTTACACAATGAATGTTAATATTTCTTTCAAAATATTTTGTTTTATTCGACTGCAAAGCCGAGTATTTTCACCGACAAATGAATTACTTAGATATAAAACATTCCGTATCACACCAAACATTTAAAGTGACAAACTAACAAATTAGATACAGCCTATTCTAAAATGGAATTAAAATATTTCTGAAAAATGAAATAACTACGACCTCTTAATTTCCAAATATGTTAATGTTTTCCTATTTGTTCATTTTTAATGACTTACAACCTTTTTCTTTTCTATCTGCAGAAAATGCAAGAAAAGTCAGATGGTGAAAAGTCAGATGATTCAGAGTCTGAAAATCAACTACTTACTTTAGGTGGTAAAATAAGCGATGTTGAAAATTATCGTGACCGATTTTCTGAATTACCTGACACCATACAATATAAAGTATGTTTATCCGTTCCTGTATAATAGATTTAAATAATGTGGAATAATAAAATATGGATACATTTCGGCTTAAATCAATTAGTGACATTTTCAGTGTATTTATCTACATATCTAACCACAACTCTTCAACCGGCATTATTGTTCCAATTTACATTAAGTGCACTATATTAACTCAACTTGAATGGTATAAAATTAAACTTATAGTAAATTAAAATGATTCGATGAAAATTGCTGTCTCGTCCTTATTCACTCAATTTTCCTAGTAACCTTTTTTCGAAGCTTGTAGTTATTCTTCAAATATAGTTCGCACTTAAATGACGAAGTATTTTTCAGTAGGAGGCAACAAATATAGAAGTGTTCATAGATGTGTCCATTATTTGAAGTCATATATTTATAAAAAAGTGAATAATACTTCTACGATTAGATGTAATACATATACAACCAATGAACGCAAATCGCATGATATAATTCTGGTTTACTTCATTGAAATCCCTATCAATTCATTTTTATTTTTAATAATAAATTGCATACTACAATGTTTATTGAAGAAGTGTGTTAGTAATCGTTTTCTAAAAAAAGTTAAAATACATAAAATATTGGACTGTTGGCTGTAAACATTTTCTCATTTGAAAAACAAAAATATATATATATAATTAATTCTTACTACTATTTCGCTAAATGTAATCAACATGGTAATGTACACTAAACTAGAGACTTGAGTACCTTAAGCCTTATGGGGACAATTTCATCTATTTAAAATCTAAAACTTGATCCTTGTAATGGATATTGTTCAACCTCTTATAAATATGGTTTTGAATGTAAAACGCTAATAAATAGTGTAAACGTAATATTTTCAGCATTCTAAAAATCTATAAAATGTATTTGTATCCCGTTCCATTAAACTGCCGTAATCTTTCGCTCTTAATCATGAGAAAGTGACAAGATTTTGTATTATCAAAATTATCAGATCACTGAGCGAGTTCAAAAATACATTATTTACTGATATAATATTTTGTTTTAATTTTGAACTTACATAGGTGTACGTTTTAGAATACCCTCAAGATTCAATTTTGAACTTGGATTCTGACTTTATCTCTGAAAATTACTCGACTGTAGACTCGTTAAAAAATCTTATCATTAAATGTATGAAATATTTGAAAAGTGTATTTCTGTTTCATTCTTTTGAAAATTAAGTTTCTCTTTCTGTGTGTAATTGATGCTTTAAGATTTGTTGACTTGTGAATAAAGTAAATTACACAAAATGTCGATAAGGAAGTTTAGTTAAGTTTGTCTTCATAATATTTGATTTAAAAATTCAAAAGTCAAAAATAAAGTTTACTCATTAAATTTCATTTCTCCTTTGCTTTTCTTTGATTAGATATTTGGCTACTTAACACCCATAGATTTAGCTCGAGCTGCTTGTGTATCTCATTATTGGTGGTCTGTAGTTAGTGAAATGGATAAGAAAAATACTTTGGATTTATCGTGCTTTGGTAAAAGGTAAACTTATTATGTCAACCATAACGTATGTATTTTAAATCACACTATAGTGATCGTGTCAATAAAAATTTATTTAATCATTAGTTTTATGGCTAGATGTTATTAGATATTATTGAACTAAATTCACCGTTTAAAAAGTTAGGTTATCTTCACAATAAACATTTATTAGTGACAAAATAGTTGAAAATCATAGAGAATTGGAAAACTGTTCTTGCTGGAATTGTGACTTCTTCAATAGTGTGCACATACAAGCCTACGCGAACATGAACTCATTATATTTAGGTTTGGGTGTGGTTTATAATATTTTCAAACATTTTTACATCATTTAACCTTGTGACTTCATTTACAAATTCATAAATGCGATTCACACATTTAGTCAATATGAACAAGATATTTTGTTTGGGTATAATAAATGTAATTCACAATATATTTTTAATGAACCAAAGGGACCAATAATTGAGACTAACTAGCACAAAGGTTGGTTCCACTATATACATAGCGACAAATGACTTGTTAATTAAATTGATGTACAAAATGTTTTAAAACTGACAGTTACCATAATGTTACTCCAAAATCATGATTTTACTACTATATATATATATATATATATATATATATATATATATATATATATATATATATATATATATATATACCGACCATAAGTAGATCTCATAAACTTAATTAACTTTTCAAGTCCCAGCCATATTTGTAAATGCTTGAATTAAGTTACTGTAATATACTGACATATTCTCCTTTCTCCTTTTTGATAGGTTAACAGAAGAACTTTTATTTAGGCTCACAAGAAGACGTCGAATGTATCTGCGTCATATCAACTTACGTAATAGTAGTCTGTGTACTTTAAATTCATTTCGTTGTTTAACTAGTTGCGCTAATTTACAGGATATCAATTTATCCAGATGCACTGGTATCACAGTAAGCATAAGTAAGCTATTCATTACTGGTTTTAATTTATCAATAATAATGGGTTCCCTTGATCGCTTTAAACAAAGGTATAAAGTATTTGATGACCTTATGATAACGGTAATATAACTTTGAAATTTGAATAAGCTTTTAACATTCTTTTTACACCAGTATATTGATTTTGTATCTGTTATATCTTATGACCGCCAATTAGAGGGAAGTAAATTATCAACAGGACCAATGACGCGTAAACCCGTATGAGCAGCCCAGAGTCTGATTCGCCCTGCTTAGCGCCTAGTTCAGCCAGTTAAGTCCAGAACACAAGTCTCAGCCTCTGCGATATGAATCATTATATATCAAACATACTGAGTTTATATATCAATCAAACAGACCACAACGTACTAATAAAATATGAAACAACATCTGTACAAGAATTAGCCAGATGTGGCTGTGAATGAGGGAGGTAGTAATTAATATACTGGGTATAACTCAACAATGGTAAAACGTATAATAATAGTTTATGGGTCAAAATAAAGCTTATAATAAGAGGGATATGAATATGAATAGTTTAGTTACTTAATAATTATACAATAGAAATATACGTTTAGTATTGGCTCATCAATAGATCCCAAAAGTCACCATTCATTATTCTTGTCGGGACATAATAGTATGTGAAGCTGAAAACATGTATTTTTATAGAACTAATGCTTGAAATGTTTTTTTTTTGAAACATAGTTCTGTTATTCTATAAAACTCTTCATAGGTATATTTTATGGTTCTGTACTAATTCAATCACAGTTAGAAAATACAGTTTATATTCAACCCCGTATATGATAGAATTTTAAATAATAAAAACGTAATATTGAAAGCTGACCAACCTACAATTAGTTTAAAAGCATGCTAAATAGTGTTCGTACAAAACATTGGTTATTTTAATGCCTTGAGAAGTGTAAATACTGCTAATCGTTCACATGATAGTTGTGACTGAAAAATTGGAGAAATAACCCAGATAACATAGTTTAACTCAATCCATTCACTTTGTATCTTTTTCTAAAATGTTCATTTCAATATTATTAAACCTACCTCAATTTTCTAACTTAATTCTCTTTATTTTTTTTATTATCAATGGTACTACTATATTAATGTGGATCTTTTAATCTCTGTTTTTTTTGTTTAAAAGTTAAGTGTGACAATTTTAAATATTGTTAATTGCAGCCAATTTTTATTTTGTCAACCGATGAAATAATATGTACATCCATGTACTAACAAATTAATAATCTAACTTTTTATCTTTTTTTTGTGAAATTCCACTATTCGACAAATATGGAATGCCTCATTAGGAAGATATGGTGTTTTCAAAGTCCCAAAAACATTCTTTTGACTTTAAACTTGTGTTTATTTACGGATTGTTAGTCTACAAGTCAGTAATCATCGAATTAAATAAGATAAAAAAATTAACGTGCAAATTAAATTTTCCTTACAGCTGAACAGTTTGATCAGTTTTTCCCTCCTTTTCTGACATACAACATAATCATTTCACTGTTTATAGATCGTGAACATAAGTTGTTTACATAATTCTAAGTGAAATAACGAATTATCAAGAATATCATACATTTTCTTAAAATACTAAAACGATGTATGTTTTCGATATCTTGAATACAGTATTTTTATTTTCTTTTATCCTCTTTAGGATGATGCAGTTCGTATAATAACTGTTGAATGTAGTTTACTTCTTTACTTGAATTTATCATATACTCAAATTACTGATGATTCAGTTCGTCACATAGCGATGTGAGTATATAATTTTGCTTTAAACTTACAATTGTGTTTCGAACCTAACAAAGATAACAATGTGTTTTAATATTTGTACATATTTAGACATATATTTCTCATCAAATCAAGATAAACTTGAATGAAAACTAAAGTTTGAACCTCGATATTTTATTCGGTTACAACAGCAAGCACCAAAAAGCATAAAACTTTTAAATATCCATGGTTAAATTTAAAAGTTCGTATCAGAAGTGGCTTTGTGGAGATTGTCGCAATCTCAATAGTTGAGGTCATAAGCCAATTGAAGCTACACCATAAAGAAAAAGCTGGAAGCACTAGATGGCCGTTTTATCCTGTTGTGGGACTTTTCAGCAGTGCGCATCCACGGTCCCGCCTTACAAGATTCGAACCCAGGGCTTATCAGTTTCGCTCGCGAGCGCTTAACCACTAGACGGCATCCAACAGTGTTAGTGTTTAACTTCAACCAATCCACGAAACTAAGCGACACATCCACTATTGTATTCAATGAGTTAATATCTCACAACAGACCCGATTGAACTCCACTAGTTACTGCTTCTCACTAGAACTCCAGGATATACCTCTTGAAGCCAGTCACTAGTGAGCATATGTTGCTTAGTATCAGAAGGAGTTTTGTGTAGATTGTAGGAATTTCAATAGTTGAGATCCTGCGTCCTGGGTTCAAATCACGCGATGCGGGATCGTGAATTCGCACTGCTGAGTCCCACAATAGGACGAAACGGCCGTCCATTACTTCCAGTTTGGTTCTTCGTTAAATATATAAGTTAATAAAAAAACTTGTTGATATTATAAACATGTGATTTTGATTGTTTCTAGAGTGATAACTTATATATAAACAGAAATCGCTTTTGTATTTAAAGAAACTTAATAGTTCCCATCAATCTGGTAGTTAACATTTCTCTAAATGACATTGTAATTAGTTTTATTTTAATAAAGATTTCAACATGTTATCTTATATTTCAGACTATATAATTAGCTATAATCTAGATTATATTTAAACAATGTATTTCATATATTTTGATATGTTGACAAACACATTGTTGCACGGATACATACTTGTAAATAAACATCCAATCTATTTGATATAAAACTAAATAAATTAAATTAAATTATTCTTTCGATAATGATATTAGAAGACGAAGATTATCAGAACTATGTGATATATTAGCGCAATACATTTCGAACAATCTGGTCACACATATACTTGTTAAGAGCATTTATATATAAAAATAAAAGGTCAACTAGACAGGAAACGGGGTAAGAAGAGATAAGGATATTATTATTCTATTCAAACATGTAAATTCAATATACTTTCAATATCTGTTCTGTAATAAATATACTCATGTTATTTCGTTTTGTTTTTTTACATTAAATGTACAACATCATAAACATATTTTTTACAATTAAGCAATACAAAAATGTTACAATATTTAAGTTTGGCCTATTGTACACGATTAAAACAACTTTGCTCAACTTATTTCAATCAATTAGAAAGTTTCAAGTCATTAATTTATTTGGATTTATCTGGATGTATTTACGTAAGGATTTCTTTTTTTCTGGTATATATCAATTTAAGAATTCGTTTTCTTTGCATGGATAATAGAGTTTTATATAGTTACAATTATAAATAGGATTTAATCTAGCAAGAATGTAAAACCGTTCAGTTCACCATTTTTTTCGCTTTTAAACACTAAAACAAAATCAATCAGGTGAAAAACAAAGAATTTAAAATTATATTAGCACCATTGATAGTAAAATTCAGTCAGTAACAACATAGAACTTCGTACGTACGTATATCAGTTCGAGTTGCCATATCACATTAGCACAGAGATGCAGTTGTCTTTACTCAAATCTCGTAGTTGTAGAGGTAGTAAGAGTATAGTGAAATTGGAAATATATAACTCAAAATAAAAGAATAAGATGTCTGTACATTGTTTTTTAGATAAATATGTAAAACGAGTATTTTAGTGACAATTTGAGTGACTCTAAGACGTGTTACTTAATGTTTTTCTAGAACCTGCTTTTTATGATTATCTTGTGGATCAAAAATACCATGTTCATCTCTGGCAACAGTCAAATATGACCAGCAATAAATTCATCTAATAATCCAATATCTTATTTAAACACCGCAAAACTTGATTTTAGGCGACATTCAAACTCGACAGCGTTTAGCACACACGTTTATGTTTATATATGAGAGTATAGTTCTTCTACTTCAAAGCTGTTAACTGACATTATGAGAGAAAAATTTCAAGTGTATTGAAAAATTCAGAACAACTATTTAATCTAACGTTATATGATATAATTCAGAGAGCGTTTCCTTAATCAAATAAAGAATTCACGTTTATTAAATTCATTATTAATTGTATTTTGGGCGAGACTATAATTTATGAACGAACCAGTCAGGTATAAGATAACAGGTCTTGGATTTGGGCGCGAAATTCACTCATCCATTTGTTTAAATAGAGTTTTGACAGTTCGTAATGAAATCCATGAATCTAATTCTTAACCTTAACCATCAAATGTAAACCCTAATTCTAATTCCTTACACTGGTTTATAACCCTCAATTAGTCCTAGTTATTAGGTGAACACTCTTAATTTCAGTTTAGCGTCACTCAAAGGTCGTCCACAAATTCTGGTCTAATCGTATTTTGAATATAGTTAATGATGGTCTATGAAACACTTAAAAACATGATCTATTTTATAAATCTACTTATGTATTCTTCTTAATATTGATAAATGTTTTTTTTTAAAAAACGTATTTTCATATATCTGTGATCTTACTTTATCAGTTTCAGTTTTTAGTTGTACAGATATAAACATCTTTGTAATATGTTGGCCATACAGTCGAATAATGGTCCATGCTGATCCTCATTGTCTGGATCATATTTCGTCTGTTGATTGTTTTGATTTATCAGCTAACATATGAAATGTACAAAATAACTAATCTTTTAAACTGTAAAACATAAATTACCTTCTATTAATAACTGTATTTTAGTCGTAAATTCCTGAGTCATTTACAAGATGTTTTCTTTATCAACAAGTTAGTAGGTTACCAATAATTATTATGTTTCACTATAACAAATCAAAAACGTCAATTTTGCATCCGAAACCTTTAACAAGTCCATGTGATATTTTTATAATCAACGTCATAGGTTTTTCTAAATGGAATTTAATATTATTTGTTTATGTTATTTAAGATGACCACAACTTATGACAGATGGTTGGGAGCAATTACTTTATATATATTTACTATTGAACATCTTCGAAAATAAGGTTCTGTTGTGCAACATTCTTTCTGTATAGTATTATTTCTTTGAAATTATTTTGAACAACACTTATTCTGACTTACTTTTTCATGTTAATAAAATATTCATGGTGAAAAGAAAAGTGAGTATTAAAATCTGCTTAGTATGTTCCACTTCATTATATTTATTCCAGATCAGGTACTGTTTGATTCTTTATGTGCACTTATATAATATTTAACGGAAAAGTGAACTGGTACACTTTGTATGAATATGAAATCAAATTCTAAGTATTTTGTTTTGGTAATTATTCAAGATGTGTATTTTGAAAAATATCTTCTTCATGGTACTCAATGAAAATAAATCGTAGTATTTTGTACCGTAATTCATATCATTTATAAATATGTATCTATTACTCAAGATGAGAATGGCTTTTTTATTTGAACCTAATAACTTCAGATTGAGTCGGCTGGTTTACAAACAATTATTAAAAGTGTGACACAAGTGGAACATTGGATACTGAACGATATCCCATGGATTTCAGATACTGATCTTAATGTAAGTATGAATAATCAACTTTGTATTATTTCTTCAGGACATTTCACTAGTTCGATCATCACGTTTCTGCTAGATAATTTTATTATAATTTTAGCTTGCAAAACAAGGTGAATTAACCAAACCTATTTGAGCTGTACAAAAGGCTTTAATAAATAAATATGATAAAACTGTCTGAGATTTGTTGGACTTATATGTCGAAGTACATTACTGTCATGTCCCCTACTTGATTATGGCAGAATACGATATGCGATCAACGTCACTCGAATGTGTAGAACTCCACAGTCGCAAATCAGAAGATGGAAGAAGCAATTAAAGTGATTATTGGGTAAGAATCCAAAATGCACAGAAGAACATGGGTATTTATAGTTATTAGTATTTACTATAACATCATTATGATTCAACCAGCCGGCAAGGAGACAGATTATGCCAGCGTTCAGTCGTAGCATGCTACGTTGATATTTTAGAAGGCTATGGCAGGTCCTGATTGGATGGATTCTTTTCTGCTCCTTTAAGGCTTCTGAATGCTTCTTTGTGCTTTACGAAGTCGTCCCAATAATCACGACAAAGGCGATATCTCCAGACAATATTAAAGAGTGAATGTTCCTTGTTTGCTTTTCCGGGCTTCTCTAGTAAATAACACACAGCAACTCATAGTTATGACTCACTAACTATCTAATGCATGTAAACAACCACTCTACCTTCAGAACATGAACGAAGGACTCATATTCACATTCGAGTGCCTGCCCAAGACATTAGATACAGGGTGGGTATGGGGAAACATAATTTCTTGGTGACGAAACGATTGGCCACATTCGATGACTTTTTATTTTGCATTCAATGTAAAAATCATTTTCTTTACGATGGTCATCACCGATAATTGAATGGCCGAGTTTCAACCCCAAAAAGCGTTAGTTGTTTGACAAACTCTTGTTTAGTGGTAAACCCAGAACCAACAGGTATCTATAAATAGCATTATCAGCCACATGTTTTGACGTAGACATGTGAAGTGACATAATTACTGTGAAAAGACTCATAAAATTGTATTTGATTAACATTTACAGATTTCATTGATTTCATAATATTCTATCAGCTGGACATGTAGAACTACGTTTTGGATTGGTCCAAGAGAAAAAGGAAAATAGTACACCGAAATACAATTCCTACCCATGAGAAATTAGTTCCCATGGGTTGATACATAAATAGTTCAAACAAACAGTTATGGGTGGAAAAGGAAAAACACAGAATAACTAAAATATTATGATGAGTCGGCTGAAAATGTAGAGTTTAGTGTCAGAATGTAAAGTAAACCGATTGACAGGGTAGTCAATGTGTAATATTATTATAGTGATTCGACCACAAAGCATTTAGACTACTTAATTCCCCTCTCTTTGAAGGTTCTTGGATCCAACTGTTCAGTAATACACACGTTAGAAATGGTCAATAATCAAAACGTAATCATATCCGGTTTAAATTATCTTTCGAAAACCTGTCTTTTCCATGAAAAATCAACTTCAGTCGATGGTGCTGTACAAATAAAAAATAAGCAAAATAGACCAATCACATCTATTGGTTTAATTCATAAACATGCTGATTCAACTCTAAATAATTCAAATTCAAATATTAGTTGTTTAATTACGGATTGTGGTCTACAATCAGTATGTGGGAAAAATTTAAATAGACTCCTTGTTTCAAATATGAGTTCAATAGATGGATCTGGATTGAATAATATTGTACCAAATGATAATGTATCAAGAAGACATTCGAAAAGTAAAGCTCATCGTTTATCGAAACTGAATTCTGGATTCCTTGAAAATGGTAGTTTAAATTTACTAGAAATTTCATTCGTTGATTGTCCAAAGGTGAGTTACGTCTGATGAAATATGCTCGGCTAGTATATATAATTTTCCTACTCTCTTTAAATCAACTGACCCTATGAACTGTTTAGGATTGTGTACAAAAATAAAAATTCAAATAACAAATTTTGGAAGACAGCATCAAAAAAGTATTTGCCTAAGAATGAGTGGATTACAACAACAAAAAATCGTACAAGTTATCACAAACGATGAACTGATTTAGTTTCAGGGCATAAGTTCAAGGCAAGTCTGACAATGAACTTTCACGTTCAGTGTCATCTGAAATGTCAATACTTTAAGAGATATGGCTAATGTTTTATATCAATCATGTAGAAATTTATAATCGGTAAAATTAGAATCCTTGAAATCTTATTAGTCGGTAATTGGAAACATCTGAAATTTCTTCAAGTTTCGAAAGTACATTTTTCAAGAAACCTTAATGCTATAATGTTATTTTTCCTTCCTACTCCTGTTCTACTCAGACGTTTCACTAGCTTCAGTTTGTTTTCTATAAATATAAAATAGAAAGTATATATGCACAAATTTATATACTACTTACTTGGTTTTGTTATTCATTGTTGCTTCTAGATGAATGATATCCTGCTTCAACATTTAATACCTTTGCCGCATTTAACTGTTTTAAAGTTAAGTGGATGTGAAAGTCTTACAGATCAAGGTATAAAATTATTAACTGATGGGGCATACGCGGATACTTTGAAAGAACTGTATTTAGCAAGATGTGACAAATTAACTGATAAGGCGATTCATATAATGAGTGCACGGTGAGTAATGATGCTACTTACATTATCAACTACTTATGTTTGTTTTAATAACATGAGGTTTAACTACACTACTTTAATACGTAAAGTGGAATTTTTAATGTAATTTGCATTTCACATAGATAAACTTTGATTTTTTTTCTTTTAGACTACTTAATCTAGCTTACTTGAGTTTGGCATCATGCCCCTTGATTTCTGATGGAGCCTTCGAACTCCTAGGTCAGCTACAAAAGTTATGGCAGATAAATTTAAATTCTACTAAACTTGGTGATCGAGTAAGTTTGAACTTGGACGGAAATTTTAACTTTTCTTTAATCACGATACGTCAGATTATTAAACATTGACGGCACATTCCATATCTTCTTAACATAATAACCCATCCCTCATCAATCAAATCGACGTGGTTACCTCTGTGTTAATTAGGAAGTTTCGCAATGAGTAACTGCAGTGGTCTGTTTAAAAGGTATAACTAATTCGCTGATTTTTGTTAAAAAAAAGCATGATATGGAGTCGTCACAATACTAACCTTTCAGTAATCGTTTTTTTTATCTACCAGATAATTTACTAACCTGATCGGCCAATAGGGTTTTGGTATCACTCTCGTCTTCAAATGACTCTCCAGACTGTGACTTAAATGCAAAGTAGACTACTAAATGGATTTCTTCATCAGTTTGTTGCGTTTCATTCTAGCAGGAAAATCAGTGTTAATTAAATAGCTAATGTTAGTGAACCGTATTTAGTTATTTGTTTAGAATAATTCTTTTATCCATTAATTATAAGAGCCTTGGATTTCGCTATATCTCATCAATCAACCTTATTTTCGCTTTCTTACAGGTTTGTCGGCCCTTGGATCACTGCCTAAATTACGTGAACTGAAAGTGTCTAAATGTACCGCCATCACTGATTTAGGATTGCAAAAGTTCGCACATCTTGGTATAAACTTGGAATCTATTGATTTATCATTTTGTCACGTAAATTAAGTTTGGTTTTAAATGATTTTCTAAAATTGCAATTTTTATAAACCATTTAGAATTTGACAAACAATGGAATTAAAACACTAGCATTTTGTTGTCATTTCCTTACCAGTATTAATTTAGCCGGGTGTAAGCTGGTAAGTATCCGTTCATTGTTACATTTCTTCACTCACTATATATCTCTTAAAGCTGACAGATATGGCTGTACAATATATTTCCGGAGTATGTCACTATCTGAAGTTTCTTGATTTGTCAGGTTGTGAATTTATCACGTAAGTTTAAAACAACTTGTTTAAAAAATATTGATATATGCAACGCTGCTAAATATATTTTTACACATGTCTAAAACAATGTTTGATAATTTTTAGCACAACTAATGTGTGGCTTAAGTTTCAGGGTTGCTGAATAACTTGATAATTTACTATGTTTACTTATTTTGTTAATAGTTTTCATCATTTTATTATCTATAAGACAAGATTTTGACGTTAAAAACATATCTGAAAAACGAACGTCCTAATAACTTTATTTATTATTTAAACACGTAAACATTAGTACAAGAGGGCACCAAATAGATATGCGCCACATAAATCATTCGATTTGTGTAAGGCCTAAGATACTGTCCGGGCACCCAGACCGAAACAGGTGGTTTTCTTGAAGGGTCACACCCCAAGCATTTCACCTAAAGGTCTAATCCACAAAGCAGTGCAGCAACGTAAGGAGATGCAGTCACATGGTAGCCGGTGACCAATAATTGGTTCATACACCATTTGTTACTTCAGGATCCTGGAGCTCATGTGTACCGTTGGTTTTGAAACAGAGTTTTCCAACTCGTATAGGTGGATCATCTGTATCCACTAACCTGGTTAAAGCGCTGGACGTTCGCTTTTTGTTTTCTCAATTTCGCAGAAATCGGCCCCTCCATGAGAAGGCAGTGAGTAGGACTTCCTTGGTAGTGGTTGTATGCACGTGGCCATGTGAGAGCATTTCGAGAGGGAGAACTGGCTCCTATTCTCGGCCGTACAATGGTATTTGATGGCCTCAGTGTTATTTTATAGACTTTTTAATAATAATTTGGCATTTACTGTAGATATAATCATACTGTTCATATCCAGTTGGTAACCCCGAAGAAAAATACAAAGAAAATCTCTTCGTTATTGGGAAAGTTGGTTTCTGTTTAAGTATTTACCGGTAAATTGGAAATGTTCGAACTTACTGTGAAAACAGTTCACAACTTTGTTCACATTGATTTTTAACATTCATTTGTCGATATAGGTAGTCCACAAAGTATATGAATGTTTATAGCTATAATGGTAGATGTGTGGTTAGAGAAGTCTTGAAAATGTTTCTGTGTTATATTGCTACTAATTCTATTATTATTTGAAATATTTTTAACCCATCTATTTTCCTATTTAACAAATTGTATGAAATAGTGAATTAGTGAAAACCGAGCTTATGTAGTAAAGTTTAGTGCTTCACAACTATCGTCACAGAAACAAAGAAGGTTAACCTTACATTTTTCTATATACATAGTTCGATTTGAATAGAGATGATTTACGCAAAGGAAAGCATATTTAATTCTTTTTCCATTTGAAAATAATTTAACGACTCTACAAATATCAACCTAAGGTTTCCAACCAATAAGTATTGTACAACATCTATTTCAGTCATTAGTACTGAGAAAAATGTATATAAAAGTTTATATATGTCTTTTTCCCAAAACTAATTATATACTTGCTTTCAGAAGTACATCTTAATGTATAAATGAATTAAAGTTTATTTTTAACTGTTAACCCTATTTCAATAACCATTATCCTTGATGAAGAATAATTCTACCTCTAAACATTGATCAAAGAAATAAAATTCATGAATATCTTAAAATGATGTAATTATTTATACTCTTCTTATTTATAACTTTGTACAATTATACCTATATTTTACCAAACCAAAGATTATAAATACCATAAAAATTGATTTTCTGTTAGCAATTTTCCGAAACTCTTTTATTTAACATATATATAAAAACATTTATACATTTGTAGGGAAACATCTTTAAGTTTTTTACTGAAAGGTTGTAAAAAACTTGAACATCTTCGACTATTATACTGCAAATCAATTAAAAAGTAAGTTTGATTAAGAATATATTGATTATTTTATAGATGTTTGTCGTATAATTATCATTTTACAGTTAATAAATTAAAGCATCTTTTTGGTTAATTTCATGTAAGATCCGATGTCACTATAATGTCTGATTAGGTAGTTGATAATTCTCTGTAATAAAATTTCCTTCCTTCAAAAGTATGTAGATAATGACTAAACATTTGATGGAATTGGATATTATTACAATGAGACTCAACTAATTGATAACATGATGTTTTTGTCAATGATATTTGCAAAAGGTAATAAATTGATCATTCACTTTAGATTTCTGTTAATATTTAGAAGATAATATTGACATTATTCAAAAATGTTTGTATAAACAAAGTGAAAAACGCTGCGGTCAAGTTTCAGGTCAAATGTATCACTTTCAAGACTTTCAATATTTTAAGCACACTTCCAAATAACATTAATCATAGTGATGTCAATTACCAAAATATCGCACTAAAAACAGTGTTTAAGTAAAAAATATATATGTATAGCATAAAATAAGCGTGTTCAATAAAAAAATAGTGTTCTAACGACATAAAACATCTATTTAGTTTGTATCTATTACAGAATAAGCAGTTACTCGTTTACCTAATACACACCTCCCATGAAAATCATTGTTTCACATTTTAAGTTTTATATTATCATTATGCATCAAATATTGTAGTGAACAGAACACGAGTGGGGACAACCGAATGTGTTTAGCACAAAATTACAGAGCTACTTGGTAAAATAGAAAAACCACATAGGAAATCGTTAATTTGTAAAATATCAATCCATCATATCAACCTGAACTGTTCCTGTTGCAAACATCAATCCAATATATCAATGTTAATGTATGAAAAATGATTAAGACATTTTAGGATCAATTAAAACTTTACCAACCAACCAAACCGTTAAGTTTTATAAATTCTAACTTTTTTCTTCATTTGTTATCATTTGGTTGAAAATAGTTTGCAGGGCATCTTGAAGTGAGGTTTCATGCTAGTTACTATTCATCGATATCATCTACCTTTAACCTACAGGAAATAGATAGTCTTCGTGGAACTCGAACTAGTTTGACTCAGTTTTTTTTTAAATATTTTTGGTAGATTCACTATATTATAACTAAATAACTAAAAGTTTCCACATCGTTTTAATCTTTTAACATAATGGAATTTAATAAACATTCCTAAAGTTAGTGATACTCAGATAAATCTCATAAATAATCTTTAAGAAAATTATTTTCATTGAATGATTCCATTTACAATAGATAAATTAAATGAAATAAAATATTATGTTCATTGTATAAACGTAATTGAATGTGTAATTATTAAAATTTGATAACTTATAAACTATTTCCTATATGACACATAAATTTCACAATTGAATATGATGTATTATACGAACTTTTTCTTATTTAGACATAAATTAATTCGATTAACAACTGGAAAAATTGAAAAAATTGAACATTCAATGAATGAACCTCCACCTGAATTTATTGGTTATTTAATAAAAGAAAACGCATAGCAACAATGATTGTATTTAAAGAATATTTATTCATTTATTTATTTTACGAATACTTTTATGCTAAACTAATTTTTAATGAGATCAATATTTATGTAAATCTATTTATTTATGTTTTATCTAAATTCGGAACTTTGTAGATTTCCATATGTAATTTCAAAATGAAATTTTAAGAAAAAACATTTTGAGATATTTTGTTTTCCAAATTTATCATTAAATGTTTTCAACTTGAGAATTTACTACAAATATACTATTTTAACCATTTGATTCGAGTACTGACAGTGAATGTGATATGAAATTGATAAAGTTTATTAATGTGAACAAAGTAAAGAATCCACATTTAGGAAGGAAGTGATAGTCACATTAGAACAATAACGGAAAAATGGCAATTTTCGATGAAACATTTAAGATCCTCTTCTAAACTTTCATTTGTCACATTTCTGCATTAGGTTGTCCAAGTTTTAAAGTTATTATTGCTGTCTAATATTCTGTAGTTGTATCATGTTGAACACTTCTCTAACAAACTTGTTACCTTCAAAAATATATCACTTAATATGACTGCCTCCTTCCCTTTACCTTTGATATATTTTATAACGAACTAAGATATATGGATTTTCTTACTTAAGAAATAGACCAGAGTTTTGGTTTCCCCTTTTTAATATCTACCCTTCAACTTTATTTTTTTTTGGGAAACCGTTAATTTGAAATATCAAATTCTGTAGCCCTTTTATGATATTGGTCAGCCACGCACAATAGCGCATGCATATGTGAAATACTTTAAATGCTTATATTGAACAGTATCTTCTGGTAGCTATATGTTATTCATTCTAAACAAAGGTACACTGGTACACGGATGTGAAAATAGAAAATCATGCAACATCCAAATGACTCAGCAGGTTTTATTGTTCCGGAAAACTAGAAATTAATGCAGAACACAGATTCGAAGATAGAAAATTACCAATATATAATTGCTTTGGTTTGCGGAATGTTTTGATAATGTTTACCTGTTTTCATATCAACTTCCGAAAAATGGACTATTTTATAGACAACTATCAGAAGGTGTTTCGTACTAATTTTATTGTGTGATGACGTATTAATCAATATCTTAGATTCTTGTTTTATTTCAGTGCTAATTTGCTTTACTCTGAGAACATACGATTTCAGTAAAACTTCGATGGTTTCCACATACGTCTTTGTTCAGACAAAATTCGAGTATATATTGACGATCGAAATGAAACTAACGTCACTTTAGTAATGTCATATATACAGCAAACTGTCTCAGTAATTCAAGACTTTGAAATTTATTCACCAACGATTAAATGGATCATTACTTAAAAAATATTCCTAAAACGGGGCGCTCAAAAAATTCATGTACTTTGTCCTCAGTTATTTAAGCCAACATTTCCCACTACTAAAGTGTTTGGTGATTCACTGTCATTGATCCGTTTCCACTCTTTACCGCTTTTTTTATTCTACCTCCCCCATAAGTCAGGAACTAAAGACGTTTTGGACTTGTTTTGTCTACATATATTGATACCCTTCTCGTGTATCTTGTCAAAATTAGAGTTTCATACATTGCGTCCCAAATAATGGTATTCAGATGTAAGGCCCACAAATGCAGCATGGGATGCCTAAATAAAGCCTCGCCAAGCAACAAATAGTGAAAACGTTTAAAATACCTATCAAGGTTTACAATAAACGATAATTTTCCATTTAGCACCTTTAATTTCCAAATTGTAAACCCATAAATAAAAGAAATTAAAGTAAGCGGCATATAACCACATATTTTGCAAATTCTGAAATGCAGACTGACCTCAATAATTATACATAGATCGGCGAGGAAAATCAGTGGCCGAAACACTTTTTCAGTAGAATCTATCAGTCATGTTTGATGAAAAGTTCATCCCAATAATCGTTAGAGAATATAAAGAGTGCGTAAAAAATAACAGTAGGAGCATTCGTTTTTCGAACTTACGCCTTTGTTCTTTTCAGCGAATTTGAGTTTTCATGATTCTCAACAGGCAAAAACTTAAAGTGCCACATGTCCCTTTTATTATTTAAACAGCTCATCCATTATGCTTTCCAATGGTATCAGAAGAATATCACATGCCAATAGTCATCTTCAACCTCGTTCTCCACACTCGATAGATTTATACACTATGTTTAGACTCTAACTTGAGTTACGACATTGTAAAGTACTCTTTTTATAAAGATTTGGTTCACATTAACTACTTTGAAGCTCCGGTACGTTTTCTGATCGTGTTTATATATAAGGATTCTATCAAAGTATTCTAATCTTTTGATTTTTTGAATCGCATATAGTTAGCCATTTTAAATCTATTTCCAACATGCTTTTAAAAAGGCTATTTTTTATTTCACGTTACACTATTTACTATCATTCAGTAGCGTGAACCCCACACAAACAATCTGACCCATACATTTTGCTCTTATCAGATAAATGCTTCTGCCCATTCATAAAGTCTTTGTTTTTCATTTAGCAGTTTGATTTCAGTTTCTTCAATTGTACTTGTATGAAAGTTGCCTCCAATAACTTTTCTACTGGTTTATCATAAATTTAGATATTTACATGACAAGGACTGAATATTGTAGATATTTGGTGGTGTGAAATATCTATAATCTGCCATATTAAATTCATCAACTTTTGCAGTATGGTCATTTTGAAAACAAAGTAAAGGATCGGTAAAGAGCCCGAAAACTCTTGTATAACTACTAATCATGTTAATTTATTCCCAGTTAATTCTGATAAGTATGTCACTAATTTATCTTCCATTGTATTATCTGCCAATGAAAAGGAAGCACTTTCTCTTGCTTTTAATTTCTCGGTCCCTATAACGCAAATTTCTGAATTGGAAATAAATGCCTAATTTAAAAATCTATACGATCAACTGGGTACTCTAACCCCTAAGTCTTTAAACAGTCAAAGTTGGTGTAAAGCTAAACTGGTGGACATAGTACACCAATTTCATAATGCTGGACCAAAGCAGAGAAGCATATTAACTTCTCATCACTTTGAATCATTAAAAGAACTACCAACAAACCCTGATAGTGTCTTGTTGAAACCTGATAAAGGATCAGGCGTTATTATCATGAATAAATGTGAATATAAAAGTAAGATGTTATCCATCCTCAGTGATGAAAGTAAATTCATGCCTGATGTTGAATTCGGAGGTATTGGTAGACTAAAGGAAGTATAAATTCAAACCTAGAAAATTGCAACACATGAATATTATTAATAAAGAGGAATTTAATTTTCTAAAACCTACGGCTTCCGAGTACCTTCATTTATATGGACTACCTAAAATTTACAAACCAAACATTTCTTTACGTCCTATTTTATCAATGTACAGATGACGTACACATAACCTGGACCCTATCCGAAGACGTCTATGTAAGTACTCTCTGAGGGATTCTTTTAAACTGGTCGATCATTCAAGTGATACTAATATCACGGAAATAACAGTGTGTTTGTTCGAAGTGAATTCCTTGTTCACAAATGTACCTTTGAAAAAAACTGTTGATATATTATGTGATTACATATCTTTAAACAATCTTAAACTACGTGTCCCTTTAAAGTTTTTTAGAGATTTACTATTATTATGTACTGACAAAGTTCAGTTCACTTTTGAAGGTGAATATGTTCGTCAGATTGATGATATTTCTATGGGTAGTCCGCCAGGACCATTATTAGCAGATGTGTTCATGGCACATGTAGAAAATCTGGCTGATGACCTAACCGAAAACATGTCACTTTATAAGAGATATGTAGACGATATCTTAGTTGTTGATGAAAGAAATGAGGATATGTACTGTTTATTAAATAAATTTAACACTCTTCAAAACCATCTTAGTCTCTCATGTAAAGAGGTGAAGAACGATCAGCTTCCCTTCCTAATATACTTCTGAGTAGACGAGAAGATGGGTCAGTCAAACGATCCATTTTTAGAAAACCAACGTGGACAGGTCAATACCTTAGTTATCATAGTTATTAACCTGTGCAAGACAAACGTGGTGTGATAAGGTGCCTTTTTCAACAGGCTTGATCATATTTGTACAAATGATGCCATTGAAGATGATGTTAAGTTGCTAGATAAAACGTCAATGGAAAATGGCTATCCTCTGAAATTCATAAATAGATGGAAAGTCCATAGTACAGTGAGTCCTACTGTAGCCTTGGTAGAAAAAAAGCCTGTTTACATAACCTTACCATTCAGCGATGATTCAAATAGCCTTTTACTGAAACAAAACGTATTGCGCAGAAAAGGTCATTATCAAAGAAAGAACAAGGTGCATGCTTCATCCAAAACCTAAAAGACATGAAACGGTTGTCACATCCCACTGTGTTTATCAATTTAAATGTGTGTGTGGTCACACATACATAGGGAGGAGCAATCGTGATCTCAAAATTAGGGTATGTGAACATGTACCAAAAAGGTTGCAGAAACAAATACAATCAAGTGACCCAATAAGAGCAGAAGATAAACATCCATCTCCCTCTATTGCTAAACATATAATCGAAACAGGCCATAAGATTGATCTTAAATCGGCTTTTGTGGTGTTGTATCAAACTGTAAATGGGCGCACATTAAGGTTTATTGAAGACTTAGCCACAAGAAAGTTCAAACCCCCTTTGTGTATTCAAAAACAGTTTGTTCTCACCTTAAACCTACCCTGATAATATTGACTTATTATCCAGAGTGATGAGGTTTCGAATTGTGTTCAAATTATTATTGCTCCTGTAGAGGAAGCTATATTGGGCGCACTACCAGGCTACTGAACCAAAGAGTTAGTGAAAACCTCCCTTCGTGGTTTGGAAAAGGTAATGTCAAGACAATACGCAGCTCGGTTCTATCACACTTGATCGATAACCCTCGATTTTCGGTTTATGAACTAACCTTTGAGTAGAGAGTTCTTTCCACACTTCGCGCCTATTCTCTCATGTTCAGGTTGTCGTGCATATTTAGCTTAGAGGTTATAGAAGAACT